AAATAATAATGATAAAAAAAATAATAATAATAATAAAACAGTAATTCTCTCAATGATTGTTTTTCACGACGTCCGAATGGCATTAAACAGATTATTAATCAACACACGAGTATTATTACGTACGGAAAACGAAAATGATATGTATACGACGAACATCGTAGTGGAAAAACTTTAGCGATCAAAAAAAAGAAAAAGGACAAACAAACGATCGTCTTTCAAAAGTAAGTATTTCGAGTGCGATGTTTGTGTACGCAATTTTCGTTCGAGGCGATGATTATAAGGTCGGCGAGCGAGCGAATGGAGAAGGTGAAAATTATGTAAACGAGTGCATGAGCGAAAGTGTTTGAAATACAAACGAGAGAGAAAAAAACACATACACACGCGTAAACACACACGGAGAATGTTAATGATACAATTACATATATTATTGATACGGTCGCGAGTTTATATATATATTGGGATATCATTAACATGTTGTGATGATGTTGCTAATTTGATTTTCTAGTATACACGCATTCACAAAAAATACGGTAATAACATTCTTCGTGACATTATTATTAGTATAACAATGATGAATTACAACGTGAGCAAAAAACAACAGCAGCAACACCGAATAAAGAGAGATTGTAGCAGATAATATTATTATGATAATTAATTAATTACTACGATGAAACGATCACCGGTAATACGATTATTATATTTAATATAATTTTTAAATTATGAAATAAATTAATCGTAGAAACTGTAAAGCCACGTGGTCTATTTTTATTATTTTAGCTCCTCAGCCCATTTTTTGATCCCTCCTTATTCCGTTTCAAAGAATAATAATGACTTTTAATCCAACTGGAACGACTAGATCAATCGACTTACCTTGATAAAAGTTCTAAAAATAAAATTCACCAATTCTCCACTTGTAGACGTAAATGAAAAAAAAAAAAAAAAAGAATTTTTCGAAAAGCGAATGAAAAAGAAAAACAAATCGATAGCGACCTTGTCGAAGACGCTTGCCGAGCGTGGAGGAAATAAAAAATTGCTGGAGGTCAAACGAGCGTGGAAAAGTCGCTTCGCCAGGGAGACGAGGAGGGGAGCCGCCGTCTTCTTGGAAGGAAGTTCTAAGGTTGTTTCCGGCGCAAAAACATCAAATTGCGACACTGGCTACATTTATACTGTCGGTTACATAAGTAAGTATTCCTTGGATGTGACTGAGGATCCAAAATTGAATTTTTATTTGAGAAAAATAATAAAATGAAAGGTAGTATACATAAAATTTAAAAAAACAACATTTTTTAAAAGTTATTTACAATAATAATGATTCAGAGTTTTGTCGAGTACAATAATTGTAACAAAATTTTTATTTCTTTTCATTTTCTTTTTATACATTGCTCGATTTTTCGTAACATTAATTATATTAGCCTTTTAAAGGTGTTTATTTAGTTGGTTAAGTGGAGCTGAAAATAAACGTCGCTTAAAACGTGAATGCATAAATGTATACTTCGATGTTGAAAGATAGATGTACTATTGAATAATTTTTTTATGATACAATAACACATGTGAGTATGTTGTGAAAAATGTATTTTTACGTAGTACAATTCATATGAAAAATACGAAGATAAGAAAATCAGAGTTTAAAAAAAAATCAACTAATAATCCAACGTTCAATTAAGTTTCCTCCAGGTATTTTTATGTTTTTCGCTTTTTTTTCATTTTTTATTATTATTATCAATAGGTACAATACACACGCGAAGCAATGAGCAAACAAGAAAATAAACACACGAATAAATGGAAAGGGGGAGTATTAAGCATATGAGAGAAAGACAGACATGTAGTTATAACGACAGTTATAATCAAGCCGCAGAGTAGGATTATTCTTTTTTTTTTTTTTTTTTTCTTCAACGATTTTAATCACTTATTTATTTATTATTATAATTACTTTTATCGACAAAATCGTTACATGTTTAGGTTATTTCGGGCCCTCGGCCGACAATACACATCGCCCTGCTCACTTTACTTTTTTTGTTTTCTTTTTTTGCAAGATTCAACAAGCAACTGGTAAATATTACAAGTTAGGGTAATAATTAGCATAGTTCTAGGGTAGTTACAATAAGTAATTCGTGGGTGATTTTTTCCTCTATTTTTCTCGCAGCGGAAATACAGTAAGTAGTCAAAGCTAAGCGAGCGATCGCAACGTTCTCGAAATGTCGTCGTGCATATTTTCATAAAAATACGGCAGTGTAAAGACGAATAACCAATAGAGTCGCCACTGGAATGCTGCAATATTTCGCGACGGCGATGAGATTACAATTAACGCAGAGCTTTGCGAGCGGAAGCTCAAAAACGGAGGGCGATATGTACTTGAAAAATTTTGTCGCAACAGCGCGTTTGATTAAAAATATCAAAGCTCTCTCGTCTTGCGTCCTTTTTTTCCTCAGTTTTCCCGTTTCGTCGCTCGCTCGCTGGTTTCGACTCTCGCTTCCACACCCAGAGGTATGTGCGTGTGTATGGTAATATGTGCGTTTGTCGTCTTTTTTTTCCCCGAGTTCGCTTCCGTACAGTATATAATATATGAGCATTTTCAATGTGATAATCTCTTTCACGTTTGGAGAGAACAAATTTTGATTTGTGTAAAAACCTCAAGAAATCCTCTCCGCCAATCCCCTGCGTGCAGCTTTCGTCGCTTTCCATCGTAAGTTTATGATTTTTTTTTTTCTACAAAAATTTATCCTATCATATTGTTACAGAAAATTATTCAGTGGTTCATTTTTTTCTCGGACACATCATCAATTTGAAGGGACGCGGTAAATTTATAAAAGTTTTACATTACGTGATTTCATTGTACGGAAAATTGGAACACATGATCACATTACATGATCACACTGGGATCGAGCTTTTTTATTTATATTGTATGTTTATATAATCAGATTTGGATATGAGTAATTTTTGAACATTTAAAGATTTTTTTTTTTCACAAATATGAATCATTATCTAATAGTACTGGACCTTTTTTTTCATTTCCAACGTCCGAATGGCATTAAACAGATTATTAATCAACACACGAGTATTATTACGTACGGAAAACGAAAATGATATGTATACGACGAACATCGTAGTGGAAAAACTTTAGCGATCAAAAAAAAGAAAAAGGACAAACAAACGATCGTCTTTCAAAAGTAAGTATTTCGAGTGCGATGTTTGTGTACGCAATTTTCGTTCGAGGCGATGATTATAAGGTCGGNTCATGGCTACTTTAATTTTTTTTTTTTTTTTTTTAATAAAAAAAATCAATGTGATATCAGGCGATTACCAATTGAGAAAGATTCCTCTACGAGCTTTAACTGTACATGGATTTTGCGAATCGTTACTAGTAAGCAGATTAGACGCACCGCCGAGCACGCATTAATCATCATTATCATCTTTTTCGTTCGATGGTTTGGAAAGTTGGTGATTTACACGTTACAGGAACTCGTGTGATGATATATATAAATGCACATCAATGAATAATGAAAACAAGCTTTCTTTTGTTGGCGTTTCTTTCACCACCTTCCATTTCGTTCGTTACTAATATTACAGTCGAACGCGTCGCGTGATCGTATACTATAGGTTAAGATAAAACCATTGATGTGTAATTGCCTCGTTTGGGTTGTTAACGCGGCACGTGTAGTTTGCGTGAGAATTTCATTGAAAAATGAACGAGGATTGTTATTACGTTTTTTTAAGCTTTCTAATCAGCTCTGGTGTGTATTGTATCAGTCCGACAACACGTTTTAGTGGAAAGTCACTGATAATCGGTATTCGTCGAAATGGGCATAAATATGTTTGAAATTTTACGTTTTGATAATTGGTTATCTTCAAATTAAACGGTAGTAGTGACAGTTAGATAGTATTTGACTATTTACGTATAATCGACATTTTAAAAGCTACGATACAAAGTGATGGTTATAGATATTCGCACAAGCGACAACAAAGTAATTTAATCGGGCATTGACCTTGAAAATAAGAGAGATATATAAACTCGTGTGTTATCCGTTCACAACTGTACTTCTCGATACAAAAACAATTCGAAATTTTGAAAAAGCGTTGTCTACGTAAGCACTTGAGAAATTATAAATACACCATGTTCGACTAACGAAGCGAATCGAAGTTTAAGACAGAAAATTTATTTGATTTGAGATATAAAAAACTTATAAGCTGTAAAAACAGAAAAATTCACATGAAATGTTTTTATTACCATTGACATGTATCTAGACGAAAATCCAATAAATTTTATGGCATACGATATAAATTTTAAATTGTCTTTAACCGTACTATTGATAATTCACCTTAAGCATCATGAGATATAAAACACACACGTGTATCTTAAATAACAATTTGTTTTTTATAATATTTTATCAGCGTTTCTGCTTTCACGAAATAACAATGTATGAAATGAAACACACTTTTACAAAATATACTCAGAAGTCAGCGCTTATCTCAACAGATAGGTACACACATATTTTCATTTGTCATTATAATCTTGGAATACTTATTCGCAACGAACGTAAAAAAAACACTTATCGCAGTGAAATTTGCAATTAAAAAGTGACGATCCTGCCTTGTTAGACCAGTTCACACATGAGCTACTATACCACGATCAGCTGCAGTGCAGGGTCGCTGCCCCACCGCCACCCGGCTGGTCAACAACGCCATTTTGGCAGGCATGTAAATAAGCAAAAAAAGCATACATGTAAGCACACAAACACACGGGCGCGAACAATACATCAGAGACATCAGCAGAAACGTCCGCGCGCACATGTAGTTTTGCGTATTCTGCACATCTGTGCGCTGCTGTATCACATCATCTAACGTATATAATATTATGTACTCGATGAAGACTGCAGCTGTGTAGTGGCGAATTTTATATACTTACCGAGTATACCTATATAATTTAGTGTAAATTTATACTGCACGTATGAAGTATGTATATATTTCACACACATGACGGGTATTAAAAAGATGTGAATGCACGCGAATCGAAGGAAGGAGGGGGGGAGGTGGGTTGGCACAATAAGAGATGGGTGCAATGGTCTATTGTATACATTGTATTTATAATAAGGATACGAGGAAAGCGCAGTGGCACAATGGCTCAAGGAAGAGATTAAGGAAGGAAGAGAGAAAAAGGATGAGGGGAGAAGGAGGCTCATCCGCGATGCGTTTTACGCGACTTTAATTATAGTTCTCGTCTTTCTCCCTCTCTCTCTTTTTGCTCTTGGGACTTGGGACTCGAAAAGCAGGTTATATCGTACGAACCGAGAGAAAGTTTGCGTGCACAAATGCATCACGAGTATTTTATGCTGGTATATCTGCCAAAAAAGCGAGCACTGCATAAAGCGTAAGTTTTTATTGTTTGTTTTTTTCAATATAACGCAAATAACCGTCAAAGCCCGTTTAACGTGGATAATTGCGGATTACGATGTTGGAGCAGCCGTATGCAAGTCGGAAGACGCGTGCCATTGTCGACAATTTGAGAAAATTGGTCAGTAGCTGCTGCTGCTGCTCATGCACTAATGAACCTTCAAAGCTCTCTTTCGCACGCAAGCGTAATTAGCATTTAACTGTATAACATGGTCCCTGGAGTTTGTTGGGCGACTTGAAATTATACGATTTCGCGGTGCCGTTTTATAATTTGGGAACGCATTTAGGCGGCAGACTGAGTTTTGCAAGAGTCGAAAGAAGACGACTATGGTGCAACAACGGGTCGCATGCGGTATATTCTTTTGAAAAATTTTCTTCGTTCAATGAATTTTAAGATATTTTATGTGGCTAATAACACCTCGGGAGCGCTTGTTCCTCGGCTTTTTTCCGTTCCCCGCGTCTAACGTACCCGTCCGACCGGCGGAAGAGAAGAAGATAACGAAAAGAGAGGCTGAACAAGCAGGGCCGTGCTATTTTCGGCGCGCTCCGGTATCATCTGTTATTTGTTTCGGCCTCCGCCTCCTCTTGTCTTCCTTTATCATCGCATGATACTTTCTTTTCACGCACTGCAAAAGTTGGAAACATAACATTATAACGAAGAAAAAAAACCACCGCTATTGTTTGTCCCTTCGCGGTTGCGTTATATAAAAAAAAAAAAAAAAAAAAAAAAAAAAAAAAAAAAAAAAAAAAAAAAAAAAAAAAAAAA